TCCTTCAAAGAATACTAGTCTAGGTATAGTCTTATTCTTGTTTTCTTCTTTCCCCTTCTTGTGTCCACAGCACCTTTCTTTTTATCCATTATCAAAACACATACACACGGTGTAAGGAAATCTCCTGTCAGGGGGCCCACAGCTCCCATTACTCCCTAAAAAAACACGCCTCATTGACCTTGGCCTTCCGTTATGGTCAGTACAGGAACTTCTTGCAAGGAAAAGAAGACAAGGCCAGGACAGAGAAAGACGAAAAGTGTCAGAAAAGAGCTAGATCTAGATCTAGAGCTGTAAATATGGTACTATTGCGCACCCAACCAGACGATATGTTGCACCAAACCAGAAACCTTGCGCACCAAACCAGACACACGTTACAAAACAAACACCACAACATATAGAAATTTTAAACTGCTGTTACAGTAATGCGCTACACAGGATGTATCTAGATCTAGATTCTAGAAGGCCTACTGGTGTTTCAAATTACAAATAGCACGGGAGCTATTCAGAACGCAGCATTGCAAATAGTAATAGCGCTTCCCTTTTTTTTTTTTTCAGCGCGTGACAGCACAGGACAAATATTGATTTATTTTCATTCCGGCAATTCCGGTTACTGTGTACGTAGATACTGAGACTAGGTGCCCGGTTACCGTGTTGCCGTGTACGTAGGTACTGAGACTAGGACTCGTGAGTGCTCCGTTACCGATGTAGATCTAGATTCTAGATCTAGATCTGGATCTAGATTTAGATCTTTGTAGTGTAGATCTAGACACTCCGTTAGAGAGCAAATAGCAATAGCAGAGACAGAGCAGACTTACTGTCAGAAGAATAATTCTCGTAGACGTGCAACTGGTCAGTCAAATTCTTCAGTAAACTGAGCAAAACATTAAAAGCACCAGCAACAATAACGTTGTATGTATGTACACTTCAGTAGGATCTTTCGTATTATAATATAATCTTATTTTCAGTCAACAATAGCCAGGCGAATTGTCATCTAACCCGCCATTCTAACCTTTACTGAACTTACGATGAGAAGATCACTCACTAGGTCAGCCAGGGTTGCCAGATGTTTCCAAAATTCCAATGTGAAGCCGCCAAACGCCAAAGGATAGCCCTTGTTTTGAAGCCAATTAATTACAGAATTTCAGTCGAACCTGCTCTAACGGCCACAATTAGGACACTCACGCGTAGAAACGGCCACCTCCCACCCACACCCTCCA